TGTGGCCACATGGCACTGTCCCCGGAAGCTACTGTGCTGCCCTTAGGTGGTGTAGGTTTGTGTGCGGGGTAGTAGGGGTGTCTACATGTGAATCCAAGTGCTTTGATTCTCAGGGTGTATGTGTGTGAGTGTGTGTGTTAGTTTGGTGAATGGTGCGTTTCCCTAGGTGTATGTTTCCTTAAACACTGCAATTAATGGTGCCCAATTTCTCAGTGAAATTTCCCATCACTGTCACATCATGAATGTATATGCACGTGAAAACACTTCAACATGCACAATTTAAATACGTGTTCCTTACTTGCAAATACACATCAATTCACCTGGAAAACAAATCTCATCACCAACTAGGTAGAGGATAACCACAGATTCCTGTTTGACAATCCCTGTTCCTCCATGTGACTCTCACCTCATGGCAGGCCTCGTGGCATGAATGGTCATGGTCCCCCACTCTTGCCACTTCACTCACACACAACACTCTTCTTTGGAGGCCCCACAGTGAGTCTTCCCACCCCAATCTGAAGCACTGAGTACCGGGACAGACGCCTTCCTCCTGCAGGTGGCTTCTGGGGCAGCCTCGTGCCACACCCAGTTCTGGGGGCAACCTGAGAAAGGAACAGCGGCCAGGAAGAGTGGGGGCCAATTCACTCCATCTTTCCCCTTTGACATCTACCATTTACCTTCAGATATGGTGTCTAAGAATAAAACTGTCATTCTCACGAGGAAAACCACACGCCTACCACTGATCCTAGGTGTGGCTCTGAGGTGGGCAAAAAAAAGTGTAGGATGAAAGGAGAAATGAGGTCCTCTTCAGGGACTGAGCATCACTGTGGGTACCTGGGCCTCTACCAAGGAGGAAGGAAGGGTGCTCTGTGCATCGCAAGGTGGGGAAAGAGAACCTCAAACCTCAACATTGTGCCGGGAGAATCACCACTCACTTCCCTGTCCATCTGCCAGTGCAAGAGGGACTTGTTTGATTCCAAAGGCTTTTGCAAGTAAACAAGTGAAGGTAGTTCTTTTAAGTCACTGTGAATGTAAACAGGGCCAAATTAGGGTTTGCATTTTCTTTTGGAGCATGAATCTTCTGAGAAACATGTATTTTAAGACGAGCTGATTTTCCAGAGAAAGACATGTATCATATGACCTCACTGATATGAGGAATTGTTAATCTCAGAAAACAAACAGAGTGTTGCTGGAGTGGTGGGGGGGTGGGAGGGATGGGGTGGCTGGGTGATAGACATTGGGTAGGGTATGTGCTATGGTGAGCGCTGTGAATGGTGCAAGACTGTTGAATCACAGATCTGTACTTCTGAAACAAATAATGCAACATATGTTAAGAAAAAAGAAAAAGAAGAAGATAGCAGGAGGGGAAGAATGAAGGGGAGTAAGTTAGAGGGGGAGACGAACCATAAGAGACGATGGACTGTGAAAAACAAACTGAGGGTTCTAGAGGGGAGGAGGGTAGGGGGATGGGTTAGCCTGGTGATGGGTATTAAAGACGGCACATTCTGCATGGAGCACTGGGTGTTATGCACAAACAATGACTCATGGAACACTACATCAAAAACTAATGATGTAATGTATGGTGATTAACATAACAATAAAAATTTAAAAAAAGAGGAGCTGATTTTCATACATCTATTTTCCTCAAAGAAACAAGAACAAATAGACTGCTCGCTTTTAAAATGTCATTTGTTTATCCAATAACAACTGTCCCAGTGAAAGAAGGAAAGTGGTCCTAGAAATCGTTAATCTGTACATCGTAGTTTCCATTGCTGGAGGTTGACTGCAAAGTTTCGAGATCAGGAGCACCAGTGTTATCTGAGCCCACACTGCCCACACGTAGCATAGTATTAGCTCCTTCGTGAATGGGGATGAGAAAGGACGTGGCCAAGTTGCTGGGGTCACACTGTGTAGACATCTTCGCCGGCACCTGGACAGAGCAGCTTTCTGTCATCCTCTCCATCTAGCTGTGCGACCCTTCCCCTCTTTCCCACCCACCAAACCCTGTCGCCTGTAGTATAAACACATGTCACAACGCATCTACCCTCTTGACGAATTTCCAAGTGTATGGCACACTATTGTCAACTCGATGTGCATGGTTTTGCACCAGGTCTCTAGATTCTTCCATCTGGCACGACTCAATCTCCACAAGCATGGAACAGCAACACATCGCCTCCTCCCTAAACTCTTGGCACCCACCCTTCTGCTCTCTGCTTCCATGACTCTGACTACTTTACATTCCTCATGTAAATGCAACCAGACAGTAGCGGTTTTGTGGTGATTGGCTTCTTTCACTCACATTAGTGCCCCTGATGACATTCATGGGTCCACAATGACAGGTATTCCTCCTCCTCTAAAAGCTAAATAGCTTGGATATTGTATGGATATACCAATTTGTCCTTGAAATTCATCTGTAAGTGAACCCTTGGCTATTTTCCATACCCTGGGTACTGTGCATAATGCTGCAGAGATGGGACTGCAGGTGTATCTTCAACATAATGATTTAAATTCCTTTGGCTGGAGACACACAGACGTGGGAGTGCTGGATCTATGGGAGTTCCTTTGACAACTGTTTCAGGACACTCAACTCACGTTTCCAGGGTAGTTGCACCATTCTGCATTCCACTAATAGCATACAAAGACTCAAATTTTTGCATCCTTCCAACATTGGTTTTGGGTTTCAATTTCTGGATTGGGTCCTCGCTACCCTAACAGATGAAGTGATAGCTTTTGGATTTACGTTGCCCTCATGATGCGTTAGGTTGAGCATCTTTTCAGATGTCTGTGGGCCAGTGATTTGTTTTCCTTTGCAGCCAAATCTATTCAAGTCTTTTCCCTATTTTCTAATTTGGTTAAATGCCGTTCATATTTTCTTTTCCATTTTGTAAATGAACACATTTTCTGATAGAAGGATTGCAAATATTGTCTCTAATATGTAGGCTGCCTTTTCATTCTGTTAGTTGTTTCAGGAGACTATGCTTTTTCTAATGTGTAGTCTTGTCAAGGATCATTGTGCCATGAATGAGTGCATTTATTTGGGGGCTCTCTATTTTGTTCCAAGGTGTCCCTGCCTTTTTTTATGCCAGCACCATGCCTTTTGCTTGGTGTAGGTACAGACTGTATTTTAAAGTCAGCATCTACATGCTGGCTAACTGAACATAATAATAATTATTAAAAAAAGTCAGCATCCATGGAGCCACCACCTCGTTCTTCATTCTCTAGAATGTTTTGGCTTTTTGTGTTCCTTTGTGGTTCCATGTATATTTTAGCAGTTTCTCTATTTCTATAAAATGACATTGTGATTTGGGTAGGTGTTGCCATTGAATGTGTACACCCTTTCTTCTAGGAACTTAGTGTTCCCCTTACTCTTTTACTGTCCAAAGGCCTCCAATAGTGCCTGGCAGGTGTGTGTGAGCCCAGGAACTACCTACATATAAATGGTCATATTAGGCCAGCAATTAATGTGAGAGAAATAAGCAGGGGAGCAGAGGTTTTGTCTCACTCACTGGTGGCTACTAGTGCTGTGCTATCCAAGGAGCCTGTCTACAATCCATTTTGACACAGTTATTCATTAACTCAAAGAAGTATACTAAAATAATAAAATAAAATCAAACATCCAATGGCTCACACACACTAGCCACATGCCAAGTGTCCCATAACTGTTGGAATTTCAGATTCTGACATTTGGAGGGGAGAACTGTAATGTGCATGTAGAATGGACACTCTGAAGTGATTCCTGCAGCATCTTGCTCTCATTAGAAGGTTCAAAACTGTGATCCCTGGCTTGTTGAATGGCTCTGAGTCCACCAGCCCCATGAACATCTGACAACATACCAGAAAGGTCGGGCAGATGCTGCATGACTCATAGTCAGCTCAACTCAAGTGGTATGAATGGCTGAGTCTCTCCCTCTAATAACAGGATTGTTCCTCTTTCTGTTGCTACAGATTTGCGTGTGGAGAGCGTACATGACTCGAGCAGTGAGGAGGAAGCACTCAGCGAACAGTACTCAGGTAGGGAACAGTGGGAGAAGGCCCCTGGGCACGTGGGGTTGCACCTGCTGCTCTGGAGAATGAAGAAGGTGGATAAGAAATCAGAAAGGAAAGGGAAACATTGGCGACAGGGATGATTTGTTCATTTCATCTTTTCTGACTGAGAAGAAGAGAAACTGTGTCCATGGGCGTTTAGTGTATGCTGGGTTTGGAATCATCAGTCCTCGGAGGGCTATTTTCATGATCTTTCCCATAAAACCTACACTTCCCTCCCTCTGCCGCGGCCGAAAGGCAAAGCTTGGTTCCTTTGGTCACCGCCTCTCGGGGATTGTGCATGAGAGCTTCTGTACTTCTCTTGTCATTGACCTACAATGCACATGACTCGGCGGCCACAACAACCCTCTCCCGCACACGAGCACCAGGACACTAAGTGCCAGGGAGAGCCAGGAGCGGGAAGAGGGGTAAACTCTCTCACTCATGACGTCTGGGACCTGTACCAAACCTTCCTGGTTCTGTCCTGGTGGCTGTACCTTAAAGAGGACGCCCAGAGCCAGAGGAGGTAAAGATCATTTCCGCTGGTGGCACTGCATAGGCTGCCGTGGCACTTAGCTTCCGCCAGCCTTCACAGCCCACCCGAGGCTGACCTGGACACGTGCCTCCAGGGGAGAGACGCCCCTGTGCAGCGGCCCGGGAGACCCTCGGCGGCGGGCCGGGGTCCTAGAGGCCTGTGTGCAGGTGCGGCTGGGCCCGTGGCACACACTCGCTGTCACAGCCCCGCTGACCTGTCACCAGGTGTCATCTAGGCATAGGACAGAGCCTCTGGGCAGCAGGGCCAGGGAGTCACGACTCCTCTCCCAACACCCCTCCCTGGGCTCCCAGCCCTGGCCATGCTCCCCGCTCCCCAGTCAGGCCAACCTGTGGGAAGGGAAAGGAGCATCCTCAGGAGAGAAGGAGGAAGGGGAGCAGGGAGGGATAGGAACAAGCAGGGAGGAAGGCAAAGTCCTGCACAGACAGTCATGGGGACAGTGAGTGCCTACAGGAGCGACGGGATGACGCAGACTTCACTCCTGGTCAAGGAGAGAACCGAAGGTGGGAAAAGCAGGTGGGAGCCCAGAGACCCACTTCCACCCTGTGCAGAGAAAGGCACCAAGGCAGGGAGGACTCAGAGCCGAGGACACATCAAACTGAGGTCAGAGCCCAGCATCCCAAGAGCAACAAGCCAGAGGTTGTCCCCTCCACTAACTCTCCTTTGTCCTCTCCCACGGCCGCCCCAGCATCACCACTGCTCTCCGCACGCGAAGAGGACTCCAGGGATGAAGAAGAGTCCGATGGAAGGAGCAACACTGTGCCTGTAATTCACTTCCTCGTCCAGGTCTTGCCCTTCCTCTCTCTGCCGTCCATGAGCTCCTCTTCCTGGCTCCTCCCCATTCCCTGGTTTGAGCAGGCCCACCTGGAGGACCTGGCCTCCTGCAGGCGCTGAGGCTTTGCATCTGCGGTGCTCAGGAAATCACTCTGCAGCCCTCCTCAGCCTTTCTTAGCATCACCCTGACCCCTCACCACTGAGTCTGGGAAGCAGCCCTGAACAGCTGAGCAGGGAGCTGGGCTGGGAGTCGCCAGGGCAGAGCTCACCCTGCCGGAGGGGCGTCAGGAAAGGGAGACGGGGACTGGAACGCCCCACTTGGGTGTTTCCTGACCGGAAAGATGGTTATGCCTGATTCTGCTCTTCCTTGCAGCCCTCAGGATGCTTCCCTTCAATCAACTTGGAAGAAAAAACAAAGGAAGCCATCTCTCAATCAGAAGAGAAGGACTTATGAATGGGGTGAGTTTGGCAGGAAATGGGGAAGGCACACATGCATACATGTTCTCCATCGCTTCCCTGACTCACTTGTTGGCACCTCAGGAAACCGCATGAAACCTGGGATGCTGCCCTAGCGCCTGAGCACAAAGAGGAGACAAGAGGAAGTTCCTAGTCCCTGCAGGCTCTAGGATGCCCCGAGCACATTCCACAGGGAACCTGACCCTGATCTGTACAACTTCCTGTGCTGGTCGGGCTTTACCCTCCAGCAGCTGCTGTCCTTGGAGGGAGGGCAGTGGGTACCTGTAGGGACCAGCTCCCAGAAGGTGTATGCACTGTGCTCTTCTGGAAAAGGGCCCTGGGTGTTCTTGATCCCCTCACTCTGCAGGACCCAGGCCTGCCCTCCAAACCTGCATAACTCAGTAGAGTGCTTCCTTCAGAATATCACTAATTGGGATGATGGTGGTGGTGGTCCAATGGCCACTTCACGCATCTGAGGAATGAGTGAACAAGACCGGCCCCCGGGCTAATGTGAGCAGAACAGCTCACCACACCCAGCTGTGCATCCCTGTGGGCACATAGTAGGCCCCCGTACCAAGCTGTCACATGAAGGACTGCCACTCACTTGGGAGCTGCCCCACGCCTTGGACCCTCTGAGCCTCCTGAAGCCTTGGGGGAAGTAGGGGGTCACCTCCTGGCATCATTTCTCCATGTGAGTTTCAGGTTCTATTGATTCTGCTCAGCCTGTAGGCAAGATCCTCGGGGGAAGCCCACCCTGTCTTTTCCCAACTCACCCATGCCCTGCCCACAGTGTGTGGACTCTGCAAAGTCACTTCCCATGTGGGTCAGGAGCACGTAGTCTCTGCCACGCCACCTGCAACACACACGTTTGCAAAGACTCCTCCACAGAGAAGGGCATGTTGAGGGTACTCGGAGAGGCCGGGGAAGGGACAGCCAAGCAGGAGGAAGACCCGGCATTCACAGAAGAGGGTGGTCAGGAAAGGGGCCCTAGTGACACTAGGAATGTAACCTTCATTCAGCCCTGGGTTCCATGAAAGCTTCACTTTCTTCATGCCACAGATGGGTCCTGCAGGAAACCCTGCACCCGAAGACCTGAAGACACGTCCAACAATAAACTGTAGGCCTCTTGTAAGAGCTGCTCCAAACCACACGCCACTCGCGATCTCATACCACTCCACCTGCTGTTTCCCACAAGTGCACAGCAGGACAGTCTGAGCACGACCCAGATGCTCCAGATGCTCCACAGGTCCACGGAGAAAGTGAGCCAGGAGGGAGCTCGGGCTCCATCTGCAGGTTCGATATTGGCCCCGAGGAAGAGTCAGCGTGAAAAGCATGCACGTGGAACAAGGAGAAGAAACACGCCTGGAGGAACTGCTCTCCTGCACCTGTCCTTTGCAGGCCACAAAGTCTTTTGTCTGTCCGACCACAGGATGGCACTGGGATCCCTGAGGACAAAACGAGGAGACCATCTGAGTCGGCCACACACGCAGAGCTGGGTTTCCAGTCACTGCTGATGACTGACACTCTGAGGAGGAGGCGACGCTCTGGGCCTTCAACAGTGCATTGTCTGGTGAGAAGGGGCCCGCCTGGGACTGTGGGGCCCAGCAACCTTCCAGGCTTTTCCCCCGTCGGCTGCAGGGACTGCTCCTCCTCCCCCCCGTCCATCCAGTCTCCAGCAACAATGCAGAGCATGAGAGATGCAGGAGGAAGCGGGACTGCCCGGGTCCCGTGGCCACTCTGGAATCTACTGGATGGGCAGCGCCCATCCCAGCTATATTCCCCTGCCGCTCAGTCCCTGAAATACCCCTGTCGCTTCCATGCACAGGTCTGTGACTGATGCTGGGCGCAACACTGGCCGTGGCACCACAGAACAAGCCCACCTCAGCCTGTGTGTGTTTCTGGAGCAGCGATAGGTTTAGCGAGGAGGGCCTGCCCCAGATCTGAGCTCTACCTCTGGAGCACTCAGACACCACAACAGAGACACTGGGGCCCCAAGCATCACCCTGCAACTTGGGGGAAAACCTGGGCCTGAATTACTGGGATGCTACATATCTATGACTTGCAGAAATGGGGTAAATTATTCATTTGTTAAGCAAATGAAAACATTTAACTTTTCTCTCTCCTTGAACCCTCAAATTCAAAAGGTCTCCATAAGTACTCTTTCTTCCATGGCAATCATAATCATTTGCATAAGTTCAATAAGAATCTGTTCTTCTTGTAACAGGACATCATTGAAAACATTAGTTATTTTACCAACATTTTGACTGGAATGTCCTATTTGAGAAAGACATGCATAGAGTTAGATATGACCAGACAGCTTTAAGGAACTAAGGTTTACTTTATGAAACGTGGAGCCATAAAGCCCTTTGGGAATGTTGGCCTGATACCTTGCTTACAGAGTTCCCAGCAGCCTCACCAGGTGGGTAAAGAATGTCACTTCCTGGCAGGTGCAGGAACCTCGGGATATACCGGGGACCTCAGCAAGAGGAATCTGCCCAAATTCACAGGTATTGCAGGTATGTCTGATGGCAAGCCCTTGGTTTGGCTTCTGGCCTGGAGAGACTACTCCAAGTTCAACCTAGAGATTCCTTAGAAAATTTCCAGCATGATCCATTGTTTTCATGTAACACCCAGTGCTCCACAGTACATGCCCTCCTTAATACCCATCACCGGGCTAACAATGGACTGTGGATCACCACATCAAAAACTAATGATGTACTGTATGCTGACTGACATAATAAAATAAAATTTAAAAAACCAAAGAAAAGTTCCAGCAAAACAGATTTTAAAAGATCTGATTGATTATTGATTGATTGATTATACAATTATACAATCAATGACTATTCTTGCTGAAAGTATGTAAATAATTAGTCCAAGTTTGTTAAAACTGCACTTGTTTTTCAAATAAATGACTCCTGATTTGGCTATCTCTGGAAATGAGGGTTATTTTAGAAAGAAAAATTATGTTTCAATAACCCACCTTTGCAGATGTTAAATTCTAACTCTGGTTGTCTTTAAATATTTGTTGTTTACCTAAACTAGACTACTTGAGGTAAACTTCAGAAAAATTACCACAGTAGCTCCTATATAGGCAATCTCCTTGCTTGCTATTCTGTGGGGATAATAACAGGACCCCATGGGCATAGGATTATTTGAACAACTGGAAAATCGGGTTCATTCCCCAACGACTGTATAACTCAATGAAGACCTTGACTCATTCTATGTGGCTGGGATGATGAAATCATTCGCTAAAAGCCAGAGCACACCCCACTCCACAGGGTTAATTGTGGACTTACAGAGATAATGGATGACCCCACTTTTATTAAGATTGGGCTGGATGGTGCATTTGGGGATGGCCTGATCTCCGGACTAGTTTTCTCCCACTTGCCAGTGATTCCTTGTAATTATCATACTAAGGCTGGAACTCCAACAAAAAGCGCTTCTTCATGGTTTCACCCCTCATAGTCATACTGATGCTAGAAGCCACCCCTATTGAGGTACAATTGCAAACAGAGGCTTTAGCTAAGCATACCACAGCCCTCCTGGTAAAAGTAGCCTCAACGTTCACTTCAGGACCATCCCTGACC